TATGAGAGGAATGTTGACAATTCCCATCCACAGACAAGGAAGGACCTACCTAAGCCACCGAAGTAGTTCAATGGTGCATCATCCGCCACTGGACCGTGGTAGATGGCTCGACCATTACAGAGGAGAGTGAGTGAATCAAAGAGTTTGTAGATGGAGGAGTTGGGCTGATGAATTGAGGCAATAATTGTCTTCCCGTCAGCTGTCAGTCTACATCAATGTGAATGACAACAGGTAGTATTCAAGAAACCAACCCGGAAATTGAACTGATGAAATTTTTTAATTGAAACGTTAATGCCATTAGCAATTAATACACCAAATTTGGTTAAACTAGGCCGAACTATCAACTTTGCCAGTGATGTAAACAAACGATGACAGTTGCTACTGCGAGAGCACTTTCAATCTCTCTCTCTCTCCAAGATTACTTTTTAAACTGCTTCAAGTTGCCCTTTCTCAAATCGTCTAGCTGGCCTCAATGAATGCAATTTGTGTCGTCAACTTCGAGATCATACCACTACAGAAAAATAAGAAGTTAGTCAGAAGTTAATACCAATCACCATCAACTCTTACGCGATCTCGATCACCGATCTTTGGTTCACTCTCTTATCTCCAACCGTTTCCGCTTTATGTTAATTCCTGACAAATTTTGCCATTAAATAGTTGCTACAACCTGGAATTATGTGACAGCAGTTCCACTACGATCAGGCTTTGACTCCTTCCAAACGGTTAATAGTAACAATTTACAATAAAGAAGCTCTCTTTTAAAGATTCACATGGAAACTCTATTCCCACTGGCCTAAACCACGCTCCATGTTCTATATCCTCATTTCCTTCCACCTATATTTCTACAGAAGGTGTGTTTGAACGTCGATACAAAGCACACAGCCTTCCTTTAGTTCCAAAGTCTAGGAGGCACAACTGCATTCACCAATAAGCGCAAACAACTCTAGATCATTGATGTTAGTAATGGCAACTAAATGGTGATGAGCAAACTCACCGTTTGAGTAGTTTCATCAACTTGGAGGCGGTGTGAGTGTCTAAGCCAGTGGTGGGTTCATCAAGAAATATCACAGATGGATCAGTAATCAGTTCAATTCCAATGTTCGTCCGTTTCCTTTCACCACCCGAAATTCCACGCGTCATCTCTGTACCAACCTAAGCGTTCATGTACAATCCATTAACATGTTTGGATTGCAATACTCAGTTCCTAACGACTCCCCTTGGATGACCACCTCCCTTGAAGGCACCAAGTCCACTGACTATGCATTCAGCACAATAGAATCTCCACAACTTGAGAAAGTCAAAGTGTGCACCAAAGATGAAAGAAGTCAGTCTGCTACTATTCACTTACCAAATACTGTATTCACCACTTTAGATATTCCCTCGCCTATGCTCAAACACCTCATCAAAGACAAATGAGTTTTAAGGAGACATAAAGATATGAGTAGCAACATTGTTATCGAAATTTTCGTGTTCATTCTAGTGATGTCTAGTCCGATCTGACTTTCCCAGCACAACTCTACACAATGTCGTCTCATAATACATCAACCACCTAAAATGGGATTGACGGTTACAAGTAGCTTGCCTGTATGTCCAATGGTGCTCTTCGATACTGTGAAGCAAATGTTATAAAACCAAGCAATTAGTTAAGTAATGTGTCGGTGTGTTAGTCAGGCACTCGCCTTAACACTGCTAGAGAGCTGGCATTGCTAATGAAACGAGAAAGATGAGCAGGAATGGCAATACAGGTCTTATTGACAGTTACGCAATTCATCGTTTCTCGGCCATTCAAGTGTGATAAACTGTAGTCTGTAAGGAGTCATTTTACTAAATCTTCCACAGAGAGCTCACATGCAACGTCCTTCACCTCCCCCTCCCAGCATCTAAGTTTTTACAAGTCTGAATATCGGCGTGATAGGAAGATTCGGAGGGCTAGCCAAAATTTACGCACTATTTGAATGTTGCGCCATCCGTGAGGTAGAGTGGATCCAACAAAATAAAAAAATTAGAAGCATGACAACTGATAGTTTAGTGTTGTTGAAAATTGAGCGCCACAGAAGAACACAATGCATTTTATTGGTAAGCAAAGGTTCAAAAATATTGACGATTTGACTACGTCTGAATAGAGTGGAACAATAATTGAGGAAACATAGAAAGACTGAATCTATGAAAGGGTTTAAACAATTCGGCCACCCTTCATCACAAAGCACCTCACCAGTGTGTGAGAATCCAAGGGCATCAACTTAGCAGAGTGGTCAAGGATGGGGCATTCGGAGAAGTTCTCTACAGCCCATTGTT